CCTAACTCACCCTCCTACTACCCCATACTCTCTATTCTTGGCCGCTGGTGAACGCTGATGGACGCTGGTAGACGATAGATTGATACCTATCTTTGCTAGCCCTCAAGACGCTGGAAGACGCTCGCAGACGCTAGCATACGCTAGATTGATATCTATCCTTTCCTAGTCGCTGACAATGCCGGACGCTCTAACGCTAGTTGTTGCTGGTGGACGCTAGTAGAGCTGGCGGAAGCTGCCGCAAAGTATAAACGCTGCTTAACGCATGATTCATTGCAATTGAATGAGGAACATGTTCTTTCCTAAGTCTTTCTTCAACCGCACTTGGGATGCTGACGTCAGGTGGATGACGGATTGAGGAACAAATCCTTTCAGGCCGAAATATGGCATGGTAAACATGGACGTGATTGATGCTGTAAACGCTCGCTTGGCGGCATGTGATGGAGACCACCAGGGAGATGATGTGAACGATGTGGAGGTAAGTCTGAGCTCGAGCGATCTTCCACAACAGTTTAACTAGACGACGTGAGGAATTGCAGGCTAATTTCAATCTTCCGTATACCATACTTCGACCTCAACTAGCAGAAACCATACCTCTAGTGAACAAGTCGTTACCGTTTCCCAATGACAAGACCAAGAGCAACAAATCCCTCACGGTAACCTTGAACTTTGTACATTGTATGGACGCGGTCAATGAGAAACAGTTTCTTTCAGATTTCGCTGAACAAACGAAAGAAACTTCCATCAGCATCGACTGAAGGTGCCATTGCGGACGAGTTGTCCGGGAATAATCAGCGGACGGCTGCCACAATTCCGAGCAAGTGGCAAGGTAACTTGATAACTTGTTTAACTAGTAAACCCTTCTAAGACTGAGAAGCCATTCTTTAAGGTCATTAAAGTGACTGTCAAGCAAAATAGAATGTGTAGAAGTAGCTGATCGTAGTTTATTACGCAAAGCGCTAGGTAGAGCTGGAGAATTAATTTAGGTCAAAATAACGCGAACGCTCTCTAGTTTGGCATCATCCATACCCGTGCCAACGACAAGGCGTGTCACAGAGCGCGGCTTTTGACGAAGCCAGGGCAGCCCTCCCCAGCATTTTTAGCGGGCTCACGATAGCATTAGTGACAATGAAAGCAACACTAGCCGCACTCCAGTTCACGCCCCGTCACACGCCCTATATTTTAAGGGGACCATGACTGTAACTGGGTCCTGACCACAGATTTTTCACCGGTCTCCCCCCAATGAAAGTGCCCAGGAAGCGCGCCACTGGCTCGCGAGT